CTTCTGATTCTGATTCTGAGAAGACATCACTTTGAACTTGAACTCAGCTCTTTCTCTCTGAACCATAACATGAATTGCTTATCATTTAGTTTTGCCTAATGATTTAGATAATACCATTCATTAACTGTAGTAACAATGGCTCTGATTCACCAGAGTACTTTAATATGCAAATAGTATCATTAAGGCCAATGGGAATCATATGCTCAATGTTAAACATGTTTTAGTGCTTTGGCAAATGGGATTCCCGCTGCACTCAATGAAGTAGCAATGTTATCTTTGTAATATTTGTAGTTAATTATTCATTTTAGTGGATTTTTTAAATGTATTGCAAGAACTCGTGTGCCAAGACACTACGAAGTACATATGAATAGAATTTAATCTTCAGCAATGGAAACCGAATCAGGGATGGCAGATTTGCATGGCAGTTGTTATGAAGTATCTTGAGTTGTACATTCTGACCCTCAGATAGCTGGGAAATGTCCTCTGCATACCTCAGCGCCTTGCCAAATCTTTTTTTCCCCTTCAGTGAATGTATTAAAACATGTAGCAGTGGAATTTAACCCTTGTGATCCTTATTTTCCATCTGGAAAACATCTGTTGAAAGGTGCCCACAAAAAGAGCCTTAATAGGACAGCAGAACAGTTCTGGAGGGCTCCAGACAACATACACACAGTTTGCATGATGGAGACCAAAGCAGAAACACAGGAAGCTAAAAGAATTGTTCAGCGAAACCAGATTTTTTCCATACTCCTTGTTTTCCCTCTCTCACAAGATATAGTACGACTTTAAAATTCAGTATACTTTTCCCTTTTTGGCCAAAAAAATGTATTCATTTATAACTTACCAGGAGAAGAAAGTTAGTGATGAAAGGGTTAAAGACGGAATCATCAAAGGTATAGATGGAAGTTTGTCATCTGGTAACCAGAAACGGTAGCAAAAGATTTTGTCATGTCCCCTCAGAGCAGCACTCTAAACTGAACATGCAGGATTTGACTGATTTTCTGAAGATAGTTGTTCAAGAAGAATTTCTTTCTTGGGGTCAAAGGATTCCCCCACAGAAATATTGTCTACGTCCTGCACTCATTTATACAGCGGCTGCTGGAAAACGAGCCTAATTCTTCATCTGAAGAGTCCGACCACAATAATAGAAAAAATTGAAAATGACCAAAGAAAAAAAAATATGAACGGTGTCATTTTCAAACTCTGCCCCGGCCTCTGGGAGAAGGCAGAAAGCAAAGCCAAAGCCGTTGGCATGCTGAGCTCCTACAGCCCCACCAGGCAACACCTGGGCACAGACTCCTGGGGTGCGCGGTTGAAGAGCTCTTCCCAAGCTCCAGGGAGGGAACTTGCAAAGCATCTCCAGCAAATCTTCAGGAAGGTCCTTCTTCTCCTTCCGCTCTGCTGTCATTTCCCAAGCTTCTCCGCCCTCACACTTATCTCACTTTTTGGCTATCAGCCAAGGAGTTTGACCCTTGAAGTGGCAGACAAACGATACCGTATGAAAAGGGCCAGTCAAAAGTAAGGGTAATCAACAACGTCAACACCTCACTTACAGGTTTAGTAGGGATGGACCCTGAAACCAAGGTGGCACAGGTTTCAGGCCGGCACGCACCCAGCTTCAACCACATAGGGTTTTCTTGAAATGCAAGGCACTTAAATTTGGGAGGAGTAGCTAAATAATCGATCAAATTTCACTCTGATCTACAGCCTCCGATTTAACCACAGAGGCTGATGAGATTGCTGTTCCCACAGCCCATCGTATTGATACAGTCTGAAATGGACTTCCACTGCTTCCATTACATCACCAGGCTGTGGTCAGCAGCAACCACAGGGAACGTCTGTCACCATTCTGCTGCCTGTACAATGGGTGAGTGGGTATCTTACACGTACTTTTTCCCCGAGCATTAAATCGATTGTCTTTCATCTTTTCTATTTTTCTTCCTGAAACTGCTACAAGTAACCTCGGGTCCCTTCCCTCTCTCTCTGTGTATTCCAGGTGAGGTACTGCAGTTTCTCCAGAGTCAGCTCAGGGAGACGCTCATGACTCAATGTCCAACAGCCACAAAGTTTCCAGAGAGGCATTGTGGGATTATCAAAATACCTACACACGTTAGGCACCCGTCCGCCAGCTTTCAGTGCCAAAGGCCCAGCTCACAAAGGCATTTAGTTAGATGTGCCTGATTCCTAGAGAAATCAGGGTAAATTATCTACCTCAGTGCCCTTGAGAATTTGGTCTAAGAGCTGAGTTTTCTTTACAGCTGAAGCCTATCAATGCCTTTTGCCCAGATGTGAGAGGGGTTGCTATATTTCAACTGGAAATAGAAATAAGACTATTTTCAAGTCAGTAGGCTCTCCTCTGAAAAAATCAGCCTCCATAAAAGAGATTTAGGATGCTTTTTGTTGAATTAAGTTCACTTTTTTAAGGGAACCCAAAAGGAAACAGTAAACAAGCCTCTGAAGGTCACAAATTCTGATGCCCGCAATAAGCTCGTTCTAGTCCAACAGCTGCTCTGAAGCCAAACCAGCACTATGAGCAGAATGAGCTGAGATAAAGAAGAACAAGATAACAAGGATGAATTTGCTGACACTGTGTGTGTGTGTGTACCTGCGCATTGCTGATGGAAAGTAGCTGAGTCCTATTGGAAGTCATGGCACCAAAGTCTCTTGCCGCTTGCACTGGTGTAAATCAGGAACACCTCTACTGATAACAGTGGAATTACACCGGGGCAAAGCTGGAAGTAAAGAAAATCAAGCCTAAATTGCTCCCGATTGCTCTCCTCCTGCTTGTTTTGCTGACACAAGTCAGGTCCTTTCAAGAGTTCTGGCAATTGCATTTCAAGGTCCCCTGTGCCTCAGACAGAAACTTTCTCTCTCACAAATATATCAGTTGAAAAACAGCCCAAGAAATAATAAACAGATTCAGGATCATCTTGAGACTCCTTTAACTTGTAGTCGCGATGTTAGGACAACATGAGAGATGTTTGCTTTGTTTGCATTTAGATGAAGACCAATCCAAGCAAGGACAATCCCATGCAGTGCAATCTCAAATTACAGTTACAAAGCAAAAATACACTATAGACACCGAAGGGAACGAGACGCATTGGTGCTTTCTTCTATAGATCCGTCAGGTTTTGAGGATTAAAAACAGACACCATTTTTAGAAGGGGCTGGAGTATTCAAACAACCTATCTTGCATGCTAAGTGCTGCAAGACCAGAGTAGAAATTCCCTGCCATTACTATTATATCCTTCCAAAAACAATACTGCCACCAGTGACTGTTTTGTGTTTAACAGGTGATTATTTAAAACACAAGAACTGTGTGTTATTTCATGTTTAAATAAGCGCTGTCCCTTTTTGCTGAGCTTCACAGCTGCAAAGCCTTGTAACAGGGAGCTGGATCTTATATTAATGAGATATATTATTGAAAAACCAAAGAAGAATCCCTCACCGCCACCGCTCTGCAGTTAATTTTCTTACTGTGCCATTTCAGCTCCAGTACGCCAAGCATCTCATGGAAAACATCAGGAATGGAAAAGTTTAATCCAAAGGACAATGTTGGCATAAGAAGGGATGGTTGTAAAGTAATCATGAATTAATTTAGGTTGAAAGTTAGGAGCAGTTTCCCAACTGAGAGCAATCTGCCTCAGGAGCAGCCTCTGGGAGCAGGGGACAAGGGCCACAGGGTGGTAGAAACCTCATTGTTTTTTAGACGAATTTCAATACGTTTCTGAAAGGGTGAGGTGGCGAATGGCTTGCAATAGTCAGGGGCTGGGCTCCGTTCCCTAGACAGTCCCCATAGCCTCTTCATCTGCATATTTTATATGTATTTTCCTCTGTTGTCTTATTCTGATGGTGCTAAAAGACTTTATGGAATCAGCTGGCTAAATTAACAGGTAGACAGTTCGTTAACAGAGGAGTAGCTGAGGACAAGGGTTGCATAGCGGAGTATTGAAGGCAATGAGAAATAGTCGGGGTCGCAGTCCGAAGAAGCTGCGGGGACGCAGCCTGGGACTCATACCTACAGCACTGCAGGAGCCGTAAAAAAAAGAAAAAAAAACTACAAAATCTACACAGCTGCATTGCTGAACTCCTTTCACAGTGGCAAAGCTTATGCAAAGAACATGATTTTAGTGGATCAGGATAATTAACAAATTACTGCTTGTGTTTCTCCCTGAAAATTCACGGTTGCAAACTGTCTTTCGCCCTTAAGTGAAGAGCCAAGGAAAATGGATATGTTTTTGGGAATAGATTTAGGTCTTTTATAGACTTCCACTCTTTTGCTAATTTTCTAAGAAAAATATATTTTGTGATGTTCCCATCAATCTGCTAATACGATTTTTCTTGACAGGTAATTTAGGCTTGAGACATTAACAAAGGTAGGCCAAGAAAGGTAATTAAGATCTGCACATGCAAATTACAGCGACACACTCTGCAGATTTGCATGCACCTTTGGTTAGCATCAAGAGAGCCCTGTGGAGTGGTTTATCTAATAAGCGTTCATCAAGACATCATCCTGCTACTCTGCCATATGCTTAATTTTAAACGAGGCTTTAACCAAGCTACTTGCAGGTGTACAGCTTAGACAGATGTTTGAATTCCTTGCTGACCTGGGCGAATTCGTCATGAGGGTTATTCCAGCCAACTAACTGATAACGGGAGGTACTCCGTTTTAGCCAGCGTCAAGGGATTAAGAAATTCTCTTTGTGCGTTCTCTGCGAATGATGTTGCCTTTCCTGCATAGCCAAGGAGCATCCTCTAGAGGAAGTGCTGGGAGGTTGCACTTGGCGGTCTGAGTCTGATCTTGTTCGATAACTAATCGCGGAATCTCTAACTTTTTTTTTTTAGTGGCTATCGTGAATTTCTCCAGCAATACCATAATTTAGTCATCAAGAATTGTTAATGTTTCAGTTTAATAAAAATACATCATGTTTTGAAACATTCTTGAATGATTCTAGCTTGAAAAATGAAAGTGACCTTTAACGTATACAGGACAGTTCCTCTGGGCACTTTTAATGCAATAATTTATTTAAGGTCCAATATTCATCACGTGTGCACAAATATCATGTAAATATTACAGCTGTACTCCATGACAAAACAAGCATAATGCAGACATAGAATTATACAGAGAACTGACAAATGAGCAGGAAGGGGGATTTAGTATTTTCTGTACAAAAAAATATGCAGCCTCTTGATAATTTGTAAAAACGCATAACTTCTGGCATTTCAGAGAAGAACACTGTATAAAAATAAATATCCTATGTACAGTAACACACACAGGCCAGTCCAGGGTTAGAACCATCACTGCAAAAAAAAACACAAACCCATAAACGGGTGTTA